TTATGACATATGCTGAAGGCTGTGTCGCCCTATGGTTTACATCTGGTGTGTAAGTACTTGTTAGGCCCCTACCTACACAATCCCAGGTGACTGTGTACACCTTTGTGTATTTGTTAGGACTATGGGTCTGTGGGCTGCTAAGAACGGAGGGCCTCTTTTTTTTTTTTTTAAGATTTATTTATTAATGCAAACGAGAACTCGAGTATAAGCCAGAGGTGTGTGTGTGTTGGGGGTAGGCGTGGTAAGAGGATTCACGGGAGATAGCGTGGGAAGCAGAACAGGTGGATTGACTGAAATACGCTGCAGAGGGGAACAGGGGTGAGACAGGAGAGGTCTGCTGTGCCATGTGGGTCAGCTCCCTGGCGAAACCAAGTGCTTCCCTGGCTGCTCATAGCTTCATAGTGCTGACTTAACCCCTTGTGCCATTATGAGACCACAAGAACAACTCATTCTTGTAGCTTTGGTTGCAGGTTTCTAAATGCTTTCAGGCATAATGAATGATTCCGATGTCATCTGAGACATACCTTCATACTTCAGTTATTTCAATTGTCTCATGGCACAATACTTGTTTACTTGCCTGGCAGAGCAGAGCTATGTACTCCATGAGGACAGAGTGTACATTTTTTTTTTTTAAAGATTTATTTATTTGTACATACAGAACTGGGGTACAGGCCAGAAGCTCAGGGGCGGCGAGAGGCTTCACCAGAGACAGAGTGGGGAACAGAACAGGCAGATCGACGAAGTACACTGCTGAGGGGAGCAGCGGGCGGGTCAGGAGAGGTCTGCCACGCCATGTGGTCACCTCCAGGGCAGGCGGGAATCGAACTCATGCGGAAGCGGTTTTTTTTTAGATTCTCAGTGCTGTGCTTTAACCCGCTGCGCCACCAGGGAGGGCCCACAGAGTGTACATTTTTATACCCCCTGCACCTAACATAGCAGTTAGTACATACTCAGTGCTCAGTAAGCATTTGTTGGATGAGTGAGTTAGTAGATGAATAGGCTCACACGTTTATAGGGGAGACAAGCAAGTAAAGAGAAAATGACAACGTTGTGTGAAAAGGGGCATGCTCACAGTTGATTGTGGGTACAGAGAGGAAGGAAGATCTAATTCCAAGCACCCCTTCCCACTTTCTGCCTCTTGCAAGCTGCAACTGAAAATAAACAGAGTGCATTATAAATTAAACTTTAATTTTGAAACAAATAAATTTTAGTCTTTCTTTTGGGAAAAGTATAGTGTCTCGGTTTTGTTGATCTGATACAGTCAGGGTGCTGGCACTCTCCAGGTGAACTTAACTATGAGCATGTATGACTACTGGTGAGTCGTGGGCAAGTTAAGGAAACCATTAAGGGATGAAGAAGCACTTAAACACTGGCAGCAGAGGGAAGCTGTGGCCACCCTCAGGCCTAGAGATCTGGGCAGGGATTCCAGCAGTGTAGGCAAGGAGGAACACTATCCTATTAGAACTCAGAGGCAAGTTGGCTCTGGAGGAACTTTAACCTCTCTCTTCCTTCACTCTTATCTGTTTCTGCCTCTCATCAGCTGAGTTAATCTGAAGCCAGAGGGCAAGTCAGCTGTCCTGAGACAGTTTATTGAAGTCATTGGCCAGGGCACTGGGGGGAGGGCCAAGAATGGATCTGGATGACCGGGAGGGAAAATGGAGACTAATCAGCAGGGGAGGGGAGGAGGCGCCTGCTTTTCCGAGATCTGTGTTTGCCTGTTGGGTAATCAAGCGCTGACTCAAGCCTGTGGATGAAAATTCCAGCTCTCATCTTTTGCATATTTAGGTATCTGTGTATCCAAGCTTATTAAAAGCTGTGCCTCGTAATAAGTACATGTGGGATGGGAGGAGGGGGTATGTGGTTTATTTTTAAATTTATTTATTTATGCATACAGAGCTGGGGTACAGGCCAGAGGTATAGAGGCTGAGAGGATTCACCAGAGACAGAGTGGGGAGCAGAACAGACAGATTGACTGAAATACACTGCTGAAGGGAACAGCGGGTGGGTCAGTAGAGGTCTGCTACACCATGTGGGTCACCTCCCTGGTGGGGGATAGAACCTGTGACAGAGTCTGTGGCAGCTTCACAGTGCTGTGCTTTAACCTGTTGTGCCACCAGGGAGGGCCTGGGGGTGGGGGAGGGGGAGGCGGTATGCAGTTTTAAAAAGCTTCCAAGTAATTTTGATAGATCCTGTTTGTTGAAAACCACTTTTATAGCCTCATTCTTTCACTTCTATAGATGAGACATCTGAGGTTCAGACAAAGGAAAAATGCCTTGTTCTAAGAACTAACACTTAAGGGTTTGGCTGGAAAATGAACATGTTTGCATATCTATTAGCAAGTCATTTCATCTTATTGATGAGGAAACTGAAGCTTCAAAGGTGGAGTCATGAGCCCATTTATATAGCTAGTAAGTCAAAGAGATGGAGAGATCATTATTAAGTAGTCTATCTAATGCTCAATCCAATGTTTATCCAGTAGTTATTTAAAAAAAAACAATTATTTTATTTGTTTATGCTGGGGCGTAGGCTAGAGGTGCAGGGGATGAGATGGGGAGGGGAGAGAAACTTAGTGGGGAGCAGAACAGGCAAATGGACTGAAATACACTGCTGAGGGGAGCAGCGGGCCAGACAGGAGAGGTCTGTGGTGCCATGTGGGTCAGTTCCCTGGCTAGGGATCAAACTTGTGCCGCAGTGGCTGAGGTTGCTTCATAGTGCTGAGACTTAACCCCTTGAACCATCAGGGAGGCCCCATTCTGGTAAGTTCTCCACAGCCTAATTGGATAAAAGGAGAGCAGGCAGAGTTCATAGGCTACTGGGGTTCTATGCAGGGTGGGGTGAAGGCTGAGGGTTAGCTCCTATTGCAAACCTTGACTCTCATCTATTGTTCCTGCTTCTGAATTTCTGACTGTCAATCCTATTACTAGAAAAGCACCACTTCCCTCCTTAAATGGGTGGCAGGTAGACAGAAGAAGCTTTTGAAAAATGAAGATACTCATTTGCAGGAGACTTCAGCTTGTGAGCTTCTTCTAAGTCAGTCTAAGGCTGGGGTCCAGCACCAGAGCACCAACGTTACCATTTTAGGATGTTTGAAACTCCTTGATGGCTGCTCACTGGAGCTAGTTAAGGCTGGTCATCCCCTCTCCTGCAAGCCTTAAAGCCAAAGGCCACCAGCCCATCCTTTTAAGATGTACCTGAAATCTCTACCTCTAGGAAGCCTGTGTATATCTACCCCCAAGAGGTTCAAACCAGCTTTTCCCAGAGGAAATTTTTCCAACATGTGTAAGACCCTCTGGGCCTAAGGAGAACTTGTTATCATTACTTAAAGAATTCAGATTACCTACATTTAAGGATCTCTCCAGAAACAACCAACGTTTTAATCAGAGAAACCTATCTGAAGTCAGTGCAGCTGTCTAGAGAAAAGGTTTTGTTGCATGGAGTCATCCATCCCTCCTCATGGGAAATGCCCTCTTCTCTCCAAGCCCCCTGTACTACATGTGGTACCCTGTCTCCACTTGTCCCACTTATTTTAGAATATACCGCCATGTAAATTCTCCATATATGTTATTCATTTGATCTTTTTCTCCTACTCATTCTGCTGATGTCAATTTATTGTCCCATCCAACCTCAGAAGAACCCAGAGAGGTAGAGAAATATTCCCCTGCACCTAGACACTATCTTGGATTTGGGAAGAATGTCAGAGAACATCCACTCATCTAATATGCGAGGAAGTCAAGGCCAGAAAGGGGAAATGAATCAGAGTCACAGAGCATGCAAGTGGCAAAACTGGAACTAGGTCCCAGCCCATAGCTACCAGTCCACCCGTGCAAATTCCCATGATTCTGAACATACTGTTTCAAGTAAGCCTGAGCACAAAAAAGTGCTCAGCGTCACACCTACTTAACTTGTGTTTGGTAGTTAGTCCACACTTTGGGTGCTTAAATATGCTCAGGGTTGCCTGGTTGTTCTTATCTGTGTGTGACAGTTGTCTCTGGGTTGTGAGAAGTGTGTGCATAAGGGCAACTGAGGATCTGTTATGACATATGCTGAAGGCTGTGTCGCCCTATGGTTTACATCTGGTGTGTAAGTACTTGTTAGGTCCCTACCTACACAATCCCAGGTGACTGTGTACACCTTTGTGTATTTGTTAGGACTATGGGTCTGTGGGCTGCTAAGAACCTAGACCTATGTCACTGTTCCTGTTGCAGACTGTGCGCCTGTGACTCTGTGTGTCCATTTTGGTCTGTGTGCGGTCGCAGGCTGGCTGTAGGTCTAACGGCGATTGTGTCCGTGTGGACTGTGTAAAAAGGCTTTAGGGAATAGGTTTTGGCCTCTTACCCCTGGGTTATGAGAAAATGTGTGTAGCCCTGTGTCCAGGACAGGAATGTGGCTGTCTTTCAGCCAGACTCTTTCACCCAGGAACCGGGGTCACGGTCACGTTCCGGGATGCCTTGGCCCAGAGGCCCAGGGGGCGGGGCCTCGGGGCCCCGCCTTCCGCCCGATGGGAGAAGCCTCTTCCCTCCCCGCTGAAGCCGGAGGTGCCTGGACGGCGAGGCCACTCGGGCCCCGCCCCTCTGCCTCCAGCCCGTTCATTGGCCGCGTCTGCAGTGACGTCGTAGGGGATCGCAGACAGAACCCCCGCAGCCCGGCGCGCGGGAGGTGTTGTCCGTCACCCGGGCTTTGTCTGCTCACCTGGCCGTGGGCGCGTCCCGGCCGCTGCAGCCCGGAGCGCGGTGCTAGCTGTTGCAGCTGCTGCCGTCGCCGCCGCCATGGTTTCCCCAGTCACTGTGGTGAGTGAGCGAGCCGGCGAGCCAGCATCCGGTGCGGCCGGACCCCACCGGCCAGCGGACCGGGCTGCGGCAGGCCGAGTCGCAGGGAGCCGAGACGGGGCAGGGGGCCGTCCGCGGCCGCCCTTTCCTGGAGGGAGGTGGGCGCTGTCACGGGCCCGGATCCCCGAACCCGCGGGGCTCCTCCTTCGCGCGCCCCCCGCTTACCCGCTGGAGGGAGGAAAACAGTGGGCACGTGACTAGGAAGCGTGACTTTGTTGATCTTTGTCTGGAGCGGGTTGGCGGGGTCGGGCGGGGGAGAGGGAGAGGACAGCAGTGGGCTTCGGGGTTCTGCGTGGCGGGCAGACCACAGAGAGGCGTGGGTGACGACGAGGGTGGGCCACGAGGTGGCTGGGTTCTCCTGGGAATCCGGTCTCAAGTTTGTTTCCTCCCCTTATGAGTAGGGCTCGGGCTGGAAGTGGGGTGGTGAGGAGGGAGCGAGGACGCCCCTGAGAGTAAGCCTCATTGAAAAAGTCTTGGAGAAAGAAAAGTCATTTTCTGTTGTCACCTCCTCCTTTTCAGACTTTCTCAAGAACCCTTGTCGTTTGACCGTGCTGCTCCGTGTAGTGTTGGGCTCTCTATGACTGTCAGAGTCTCCCCAGCCTCTAATGCCTCTTTCTCCTTCTAGGAAATTTGGGCTGAAGTAGGTGTTGCTGTTTCCGAGGGCTGGCAGGTGGATGCTGAGGAGACATGGGGACATTGTCATCTCCTCCAGTCTTTTCTGCCCAGGCTTCTGGGATGACCAGCCTAGATGGAGAAATCTCCATCAGAAGGACCTTGGTCTATTGTTCTTCCAGCTCCCACCGGCTGCAGTTCCCAGGCAGACTTAGACTCAGGATACACCCACTGGGCTCTTCCCAGCTTCCCTCATCACAGTCTGATCAGGCCCCAGGTATCTGGAGGTCTGGATGTCTGATTCTCTTGAGCCTTGCCCTTGACAGCTCACCTAACCAGGGGCATTCGCACTTTGGGTAGAGACTGGGTGTGCAGGGCACCTCAGCGGCTCTGAACCACTCTGAGACCCTGTATAGAAACCCAAGGAAAGGCGCTTCAGGGGGTCAGGAGGGCCCCTGAACTGCCCTTTCTTTAACAGCCCCCCTCCCTAATCCAGCTGAGATCAAGTCAGCTGCTCCAACTTCCCTTTCTCAATTCCCCATCTCCTCCCAGTCTGGCTTCAGATCAGAAGTTGGGCCGAGAGCCCCTCCCCCTTTCCTGCTTCTGTCTTTGGTGTGCCTTGGAGTTGCTCTTGTTCGCTGGGAAACTAGACTAACTGATGCCTCTCGTCCCCTCTTCCCCGCCTTCACTTCCTCCCCATGTTCGAAACCCCCGTGCTTCAGGGACCTTTTCTTGCTCCCACTTCATGGCCCCATTTCTCTTGTCAGAATCCCCCTTATCCTTGATGCTATCTTTGGGTACCTTCAGGGTCCCTAAAGTGAAGTGGAGGCTGAGGAGCAGATTGAAGGAGATGAGGGTTGTGGAGGCTGAGGTGTGTTTGGCAGTGCTCACCCACACACATTCCTGGCAGTCACCTGGCGTTGCCAGGGCCCTAAGCCTGTGCCCTGGCCCTACTGCAGGGGATCACGAGTTGCCAGTCCTGGAGACTGTGGCTTCCTGCTGACTCCACTCCATTCTGGACAGCTGGGGGCTGATGCTGGCAGAGCTGGAGGGGCTTTGGGGTAGGGGGGAGGGAAAGGGGACAGGAAGGGAGAGGCACTGCGTTGCCAGAGGCTACCCTGTCGAAAGGTCTGTTTTCTGTCCATGAATGATGCTCTGGCCCTGGGAAAGTGGAGGCCTTCTCCTTCCTAAATACTTGTGCTTTAGGGTGGTGATAAGTTTGTCCACATCCTTCTGGCCTGTTGGAGCTGGCCAGACTGAGTTTCTCTATGTCAGTCCTCTGCCTGGGGAGTGGGGCTTGGCTCTGGGTTGGATGTCTGGGCTGAGGATACTGGGCCTGAGCCCCCTAATCAGGTTCTAAACTCCTAAGCGCTGAGTGCTACTCTCATCCTGTGTCCTCCAGGTGAAGAGTGAGGGACCCAAGCTGGTGCCCTTCTTCAAGGCCACCTGCGTGTATTTTGTGCTCTGGCTGCCCTCGTCCAGTCCATCGTGGGTCAGCGCCCTCATCAAGTGCCTGCCCATCTTCTGCCTCTGGCTCTTCCTTCTGGCCCACGGCCTAGGATTCCTGCTCACCCACCCCAGTGCCACCCGCATCTTTGTGGGGCTCATCTTCTCTGCTATAGGTGATGCCTTCCTCATCTGGCAGGACCAGGGCTACTTTGTGCACGGTTAGTGATCACAGTAGCTACCCGAGAGGGATCCTGAGGCAGGGTTCTAGAGGGGCTCTGGGTGGGGGGCAAAGATTTGGGAAAGGGACCTATCAAACATATATGGGGAATCTGAGGGTTTCTGAGGCCAAACACAGTGGCCCTTGGCAGGTGCCAGGGCCCTCTTTGGGTAATCTGGTGCTCAATTCTGGAGTTCCTGGTGGGGGATGAGAAAGGGGGGGTGGGGGGTTTTTTTTCCTTTTTTGGGTTTTTTTCCCATCCCCTTTACTCTCCAAACAAACTCCTGGGTTATCCCAAGCACTCCACAGATACCCCACCTCCACATCTTGTTTCTCACCTGAGCCTGCTTTCAACATCTCTTTCTTCCTTTTCACTCCAGGCCTGCTGATGTTTGCAGTGACCCACATGCTGTACGCCTCAGCCTTTGGCATGCAGCCACTGGCTCTTCGGACAGGTCTGGTTATGGCAGTGCTGTCAGGCCTGTGCTATGCCCTCCTGTACCCCGGCCTCTCAGGTGCCTTCACCTACCTGGTGGGGATCTATGTGGCCCTTATCAGCTTCATGGGCTGGCGGGCTGTAGCAGGGCTAAAGCTGGTTGGGGCAGCCTGGCGCTGGACAGAGCTGGCGGCGGGAAGTGGAGCGCTGCTTTTCATCGTCTCTGACCTGACCCTCGCCCTCAACAAGTTCTGCTTCCCTGTGCCCTATTCACGGGCGCTCATCATGTCCACCTACTATGCTGCCCAGATGCTCATCGCCCTGTCCGCTGTCGAGAGCCGAGAGCCAGTAGAAGACTACAGACTGAGCAAGGCCAACTGAGCAGCCGGGATCTGGTCACTCCTCTCTCCTGGGGCTGGGGTCCCCGAAACCTGGGAATCTATAGGGGCTGGAGCAGGATAGATAGAGGCATCCTCGGGCATCAGACATGGCCTGGGAAATGTCTAAGTTCAAAGGGGCAAACAGGATCTCTCCGGCAAGTCTGGGGTTCAAGACAAGGCTGAGAGCTAACAAGAGCCAGCCTAGAGCTCCTTGTTGGAGCAAGAAGTACTTACCTCCCTCCCGCTGCCCTATCAGGACTGTCCAAGCCCTTCTGAAGGGTGATGGTGCTCAGGCTGACCTCCCCCTGCTTCTACTAAATGGAAAAGTCCTACTCACCCACTCTTTCTGAGCTAAGCAGAGTGGAGGGAAGAGGCGAGAAGTCTGTGTTGAGATGAGTCAGGTCCAAGGCTTGAAGCCCCTTTCACAGGCCCTTAGATGGGAAGGTTTGATGAGGGTGGAGACTCCCTTTCCCTCATCCATCCTTGTTACTTGAACAGTCAATTTCTCAGTGGTGGGTGGGAAGGTAAAAGAAGGGTATCTGTCCAGATACGTAAGAGAAGGGGATTTCTTTGGTCTGGGAGCTGGGGTACCAAGAATTCAAACTGGTCCCAAAGGTCATCCCAGAGCTCAGGCCCCACACCACCACACCCTGAGGCCCTATTCCCTGGGATAGGGTGAATTATGCCAAAGGAAGGGGCCAACTTTGTGTGAGTGTGAGAGAGAGAGAGAGAGAAAAAAAGAGTGAGAGAGTGTGTGTGTGTGTTTGTGTAGTCTGTGTTCCAGCTTATCTGTGTCTTTCTTTGCCATCTGTCTGTCCTGCTGCTTGTCAAAGCCTTATGGGGAGAGGGACTCAGGGAGCTGCTGAAGGGATGTGAGCCTGGCTCAGGGAGCTGTCTCCTCCTTCCCCCAGTGCTTTTCTCCCAGCACCCTCCTGAACTGGGAGCTAGAGGGAGGGAGCGCCAATGATACTCTAGGGTCATAAGGCCCGAGGCACATTCAATGCAAGGGGATCCAGGATGGAGCTACTCCATCCTTCACTTCTCATGAGAAAAAGAAATAAAAACCAAGGGCTATTGGTTGCCTCATTTGTCTGCCTGAGTAGCACGTGCCTGTTCTGGAGAGGAGAGGAGAGAAGTGCAGCATGGTGCCAGGAGCCCTGGATGTCCTCAGAGGCCGGGTCACAGTCCTGGCCAGTGCATCTTGGCGCCAGGCTGGCTTCTGGCTCTGGGGACACTGTGCTGGTTGGAGTCGGTCTCACTTCCCTGCTCAAGTGTGTGGGGACCTGAAGTTTTGCCTCATCCATTCCCTTGTGCATGGGTATCCACCACCTTTGGTGAGCTTTGCTACACAGTGTCCACGGTGGAAGCTCTCTCCCCAACCCCCAGTGATCCAGATTTTCTTCAGGCATCTCTGCTGCCTTGTGCTCGGTCTGGGATTGGCTGATTCATACTTTAGATGTGAAGCTCTGGCAGAATAATGCCTCACCCCACTCCAGGGGCATTTGCATCTTAATGGGCAGTACTCTTATCCAGAAATATAAAGGACAATCTTGGGTGGTGGTAAATGTGCCCTTAGCAGGGTTATTTAGTTGTGGGACATAAGGGACACTTAAGTCCAGTATGGATGTTGGATAAATCAGGGATTTTCTAACTTCTTCCTGTTTTAAATCTAGTAGTTTCTTAAGACCTTTTTGAAAGGAAGGATTCCACTGCAAAACTTTTACATTTGGAACCCGGTAAGCTGAATGACCAACCTCTCCTGGCTCAGAGGTTCTCTCATTTTCAAATAGTGAGAATCTAGGATGCTAAACAGGCAAGGTTCTGATCCCTTTGAATCCCAGACTCTCAAGACAGGCCCATCTGGGGTGAAGAAATGGGAGGGAGAAAGATGAAGTTGAAAATTTTGAACTTATTGAATATTGAAGTTGTCCTCTATACCCAGAGAGGAAGGGAAAAGTGACAGAAGAGATGGGGAAGGGGTCCAGGCCCAGTCAGAATGGGGCTGGTTACTTCGCATGAGTTAGGCTTTCAGGGTTCTGGGTTCTGCATCTCCCCACCCCATTCCTGCATGCATCTACTTGGCCCTGCTGTACCACACCCTCAGAGACCAGCTGATGTTTATATTGACAAGCACCAGAGAGCAAACCCGGCTTCCCTCACTGGGGGCCATGCAGAGGACAGTCCAAGAAGCCCCATCTCACAACATTCTCCTCATGTCTGGGCTGAGTTGGAGCTCACATAAGGTACTTTGATTTCTTCAGCAGATTCTCAGTGACTGATGCCAAAATATATTTATAATTTTTATCTGAAAGAACAAAATGAGCATTTGTTAGTGTTAATGGTGCTGGAGGCAGGTGAAACTCCAGATGACCGGACTTGTTACTACTGTGCAGAATGAGGGGCTGACACCCTCACTTCTCTGGGATTAGATCCAACCTACCTCCCAAGGTCAGTTGAGTGAAAGGGGCACAAGAGACGCCATTTATTCAGCACTTAATATTTGCCAGGCATTGTGCCAGGTACTTCCAAGCAGTCTCTCATTTAAGCTTCACAACAGCCCCAGGAAGCAAAAAAAAAAAAAAAAGGCTTCAATGTGACTTGCCAAGGTCACAGGGCCTCAACCTCTTGTGCTCACAATTGGAGTTGTTAGGATTCACGCTAGCTGTGAAATGAAAGCTGGCTGTCTCTCACAGTGCCTGTCCTGGCCTAGTTCTGTTACACAGTTCAGCAGTCACTCCGGAGGCATCACCTCAGTGCTAGACACTTTGAGCACTTGAGAGACAGAGCAACAGGACATGGTCCTTTCTCTAAGGGAAGGCATCTGTAACAGGATGAAAGTGGTCTGTAACCATGGAAACAAAGTGTCACTGGAGAGTTCAGACAGTGGTAGAGGATAAAACTGGATCAGGGTAGACTTGTTGGTTGGGACTTTATCGAGAGGATCATGGGGAATCTAGAAGAAAGTTTCAATAAGAGGGAGCACGGCGGATCAGTTTTGCATTTGGAGTTCATGCTACTGTCAGTATAACTATGAAGACAACATATAGAATAAGAAATAAAACTTCCCTCTCATGTACACTTGAGCATAAAAGTGGTAGTGTGCAGAGAGGGCTTCTAGTAGGCTCCCTTCAGTTCCTCCATCTGCTTTATTCTAGACCAGTAGTTCTCAGTCTTGGCTGCACATAAGAATCATTTGCAACATCTTGTAAACAGATCACTTGTAGAGCCCTGCCAGAGAGGTTGTGATTAGCAAGTCTGGTTTAGGCCTGATCACCAGTATCTTTTTTCAAAGAGGAATCTAAGCCCACCGAGGATTGCAAACTCCAGTGTACTGAAAGCTGGTAATCTCCATGTCTGCAGGCACCAGGCACTTACCAAATGATAACCAGAGGAAGGACATTGGTACACCTATGGCCAATTAGAGAATATTTCTGTCTGATGGCTGATTAAATAAAAATGCAAAGCATGGATGGATTTCATACAAAAGGCAGCCATTTTGCCCTCTGCCACAGAGGGGCACAGCAGCACACCCCCTACCTTAATCCCAGCCTGTGGCACTCACCACAGACCGTGAACTTGCAGCAGCTGCATCCTTGTCCTGTTGCTCACTGCAGCGTGGAGATGACGATAGTGCACACGTAGCTGGAATTGTACTAGAACTTGGGGTTGGCCATGATGACGTGGCTTTTGTGTAGAGGGTCATGGTGGGCCCCAGGGTCCCCAGGAAGGTGAAGGTCTTGGTGCAGTCCTGGCAGTGCAGCACTGTGTGTGATTTGAGTGCAGTGCATTCTGTCAGTCCAGCTAGTAAGGCTTCAATTTGGAGCTCAGGTTCTTGGCTGTGTGGGATGGGACGCCACAGCATGAGCCCTCTGGGATGCCCGCAGCCGTGAGCGCTCCATGGGCCCCAGTGCCCAGAGCTCTATGGGGCAGACCCTGGACGTGGATCCAGAAGACCTTGGCTACACTTCCAGATGCCATCAACACTGGGGCCCAACTTTGTACTGCTTCCTAGGATCTTACCCCCTTCCTGTCCTCCCTCCTACCTCCTACATCCCCCTATACCCTTACCTCCCCCACCCCTTGACTCCAGGCTTCCAAGACCTAAGCCAAGTTGAGGAGGCGGGTTTGTGGGTTTCCAGACTGAGGAATCCTCTTCCTCTACTTTCTTTTTTAAGTCTAATTTCAGAGATCCACAACTGTTCTTAGGCCTTTAACTCCCCACACAAACTTCTCCCAGCTTCACCCCATTCTCTGCTGTCTGTCTCTGCTTTCGTCCATTTAGTCCTCATTTCAAGTTTCAGTAGGCTATTTCCACCTTTTGCCCCACAGTGCCAGATTTTCAGGGCTTTCTCCAAGCTTCCCTGTGTCCCTCCATTCTCACCTGTGTTAGCCCTTCTCACTCAGAAGGGAGGATGTCACTGCTCTAGCTCTCCCCCACTCTTCTTCCCACCTTGCTTTTCTGGGACCTCTACCATCATCACCCTACTCCCAAGTGCATCTAAAATATCTCCTCCCTTAGGCTTCCTGATGCCTGCCTCCTTTCCCCAGGTCTCCAACATTAACCTTCCCCAGGTCTCCAATATTAACCTGTCCATTCCAATATGTCTTGGTTTTTACCTCAAATCTTGAGTACACTTTGCAATTCTTATGTCATTCCCTCTATTACAGATCCTTATAATCTGAACCCCCAAGTCCTCCTACTCACCAGCTGGGTATCCTTGGAGTCCAGTGGATCACTGTCACCAATTTCTTTCCGGGCCACCACTCAGGAATACTTCCTGCCGGGGAGCAAGCCTGTCACCAGGCACCTGTTGCTGCGTACTTGGTGGCTACAGAGAAGCAGGCGGCTGTACTGGCATCCTGCTTCATGATGACGTAGTGGGAGTCCCTGGTATCCTGCACATCAGGCCTGTGGTCCCAGGTTAGATTCACTGTATTGGGGACCTCCTCAAACACTTGTAGGTTGTGACCATTGAAAATCTGGAACAGTTGGAAAGCCCAAAAGCCACCCTGGGGCCCATATTATTGTGCCCTCACCTCGGCAACCTGGCAAGTCCTGTGGAGGACAGGACGGGGCACATCCTTTCATTCAGATTCAGTCAGCTAGTGTCCTAGGGGCAGGATAAGTGAATAATGAAGTGAAACCTTGCCATTTACTAAGCTGTGGATTGGGCAAGTTACTTTTTTTTTTTTTTTAAAGATTTATTTAAGCATACACTGGAGTACAGGCCAGAGGTGTGTGTGTGGGGTGGGGAAAAGGTCACCAGAGACAGAGTGGGGAACAGAACAGGAAGATCTACAGAAATATGCTGCTGGGGGGAGCAGCAGGTGAGCCAGGAGAAGCCTGCTGTGCCAAGTGGGTCAGCTCCCTGGCCAGGGATCAACCTTGTGCTGCAATGGCTTCGGATAGCTTCAGGATAGCTTCATAATACTACGCTTTAACCCGTTGTGCCACCAGGGAAGGCCCTACTAACCTTTTCTGAGACCCATTTCCTCATCTGCAAAATAGGGCTCACAATAGCTATGTACCACCGCAAGGTGAGGTAAAGTGCCGAGCACATAGTAGCTATTTAACAAAACAGTTATTTATAGCTAAAACCTGCCTTATTTGTAGCTATTACTCAGAATTCATGTTCTGTTTTTTTTTTTAAATATTTATTTATTTGTGCATACAGAACTGGGGTACGAACCAGAGGTGCAGGGACAGTGAGAGGATTCACCAGAGACAGAGTGGGGTGCAGAGCAGGCAGATCAACGAAACACACTGCTGAGGGGAGTAGCGGGCAGGTCAGGAGAAGTCTGCCATATCATGTGGGTCACCTCCAGGGCTGAGATCGAACTCATGCTGAAGTGGCTTTAGCTTTTTGGTGCTGCACTTTAACCCGCTGCACCACCAGGGAGGGCCCCCATGTTCTGTGTTCTTAAGGAGACCAACCACAGTGTACTTGGTGTCTGAAATGGGAACTTAAGGGGTCATGAGGGCTTGAGGACAAGACATCATAGACTAAAAAGACATAGGACAGGGAAAGCTGCTAAAACCCATAGAGGAATTGGGGGAGGGAGTGTGTTTAGAGGAGCAGGGGTAGATGAATCCACCCAGCAAAGCCCCCTTGGTCCCTCCTGCCCCTCTGCTGTAAGACCTCACCCTGGATAGGGTCTTTATTGGCTGGTACCCAGAGGTTACTGCCTTTTTTCCTCTGCTCCACAATATAACTGAGCACTGGGGCTCCCCCATCCTGGCTGGGGGCATTTGATGTGATGGTCACAGCCTCTTTGGTCTCCTCAGTCACTTGAGGCTGGGAGGCAGACCGGGGACTCTGTGGGGGACAGAGGGCAGATTAGGAGGGGGAAATCTGGAGAGCGCTGTCCATGCTGACTTTATTTCCTGTCCTAAAAAGGCCTTGAACCAGTGAATCCAAACTCCCATTATACATTAACATCCAGTGGGGAAAAAACAACAACCAGACAACATAAGTAATGTCTGGGTCCTACTTCCCAGATATTCTAGTTTCATTGCAATGGGGTAGAGGTCAGTCATCAGCATTTTTTAAAGACCGCAAGTAATTCTAAAGCATAGCCATGACTAACAATGACCAACTAAAGCCTGCCATCCTGTGGCATCCCCAGTGCACGGTTCTTAATGCACTGTGGTCACACATCAAACATGGAGATCAGTTGGGAGGCGCAGAGCAAATACATTTTCTTCCTTTGGAAAGAGAAAAAATTAGAATGAATTTGAAGTTATCCCTAAAGTAACATCACTGTCACTTGGAATTGGGATGAATTCTAGAATAGGGGGACAAGAGGGGCCAGTTCCCTGGGGTTGTGGATTAATTTGGGTATACATGCATGAGAGGGTGGTGTGCATCTCATCTGGATGGGAAAAGTGGATAATTCCTGCCCCAAAGGATGTTCTGCTCTTACCCTAGAATCTGTCTCCTGGGATAGCTGGAGAGATGAACCTGTGGAATTTCCCACAGACCAGAATTGCTTACTGTCCCCACACTGACCCCCGAGTTCCTCCCCACCAAGTGTATTTCAGTCAATCTGCCTGTTCTGTTCCCCACTCTGTCACTGGTGCATCCTTTCACTCCCCGCCACCACACCTCTGGCCTGCACCCCAGTGCTTGGATGGCTGCACCCCAGTTCTTATACACATAAATCCTGACCAATAGGATTTTCCTGCAAACACTTCATTTGTCTCCAATGGGTCACTGACTCCCTCTGACTTGACTGATCTTCCACACAAAGTTGGGCCCTTTCTTGCAGAGGGATCTCAAACACAGCCTCTGGCGCTCAGTCACCTTCCTTAGCTTATCTCTATCAATAAGATAGTAGAAGCTTACAGGCAGCAAAGAATCAGAGGTGTGGTCTTTGGCTGCATCCAATTCCTTCTGAGGGCTGGGTGGTGAGGGGGACATGTTGGAGGTCATTGACCTCTTATAGCACCAGATGAGGAAAGCTTTTTTTTCTATTCCTTTCGTGAATCTTCCTCCCCTCCCCCACTATCATATGATCTCTTACCCAACAATGTTAACAGCAATTTTAAAAAGCACTTCGGATATTTTTAGGTATGTGTCACGCACCAGTGTAACCAATCCACACACATAAATGCATCCAGTTCTCACACAAGAAGATTCTGCTATTATTTCCTATTTTACAGATGGGGAACTCTGAGGCAAAGAGAGTTAAATAACTTACTCCAAATATAGCACATGCATGGTAGTAGAAGCTGGGATTTGAAATCCAAGTGTTACAGGGCAGGGAGAGAGGCACCGTTGAACCCCCAAATCTGCCTGCTCTAAATAGGTTCTGCCATCCGCCGCATCAAGACAAAACATACAAGACTTTAATGAAAAGGAACTTTAATACAGTGAGTATACAATACAGAAGACAAAGAAAATAATGACTAAATCAAACACTTGAAGTTACCCATCCCCTCGTGGGCAAAAGTCCACCCAAAAGGGATTGGCCCAAAGCAAGGCCTGAAAGCTGCCACAAGACTAAAGCACCTTCTGGCCGGGACCCATAGAAAAGGGTCAGAAATGTCCAGACCAGTCTGAGAGGAAAAGAGCAAAATTAAAATCAAGAGGTGCCATAGTCACCTCCCTACAGGTCTCTCACCCACATCTGCCTTAACCAGTCCAGGGCCAAGAAACAAGCCCAGTTTCTCCATCACATGTTTGCTGCTCCATGTGGCTTCCCCAGGTCTCCTTCTGGCTCTCCATCCTGCTTCCTTCCTCCTCAGATTCCTTCTCTTTTCTTCTTTTCTCTGCTCAGCTCCATCCTCCTTCTGGGTGGGGCAGGGAACCTGGCACTTCCCCTTTTCCTGTGGACCACCCTGGTACACAAGTAGTCTATTTGCAGAGCGTGCTTGTAACCGCTGTGCCCTCTGGAGGGCCTTGTGCCATCACTCTCCCTGCCACCCTTTGTTTCCTGCCTTCTGCCCCCACTGTCTCCTCCCCACACAGTCCTTTCCTGCAGCGCCCTGCAGGTGCTCTCTGCATATCGCCCTGGGTCCCATCCTGGCTACCTCTCCCCTGATACTGACTATGTTTTCCTTGTGCCCTGTTGCCCACACTCATACCTAGCACTGTGAGCTGGGCACTCACCGCCTTGTCAACCCCTGCCAGGGTGTAGGTGCTTGCATCGTGCATGTTCACAGAGGGAACCCCCAGTGTGTACTTGGTATCATCCTGCTTCACATCGTAGGGACCCCAGGGATTCTGGGGTCCTCAGGTAGGAAAGTTGATGAAGGAGCTTAGGAAGGAAGCTTCAGAGGTCCCTACTCTTCAAGGCCGGCCTGAGCTGGGGGATGCCATGTCTATTTCTCTAGACACATCCAGAGACCCCTCGGATCTCTCTAGCATCATTATATGGCTCAGTGGAATCCAGGGTCTTCGTCCCAACCTCCACCCCAAAGGATTGAACTCTTAATATGGGTGAGTTTATCAGATGCTTTCTCTTAGAGGCACAGATCTTCAGGCCCACTGAATGCAGTCTTCCCATTTAAAGACTGAGGTATAATAAGAAGAACTGAACTGTGCAATCAAACAGTTGAGTGGCGGAATAATTAGAAGAATAGAATCTAGTTTCCAGCCAGTTTTAACATACTGGGAGGCATCCTTTGAATAAGATGAGAGAGAGAGGCCATGGCTGATGAATAATGGACAGTCTGTGAAGGGAGAGGGTGAGAAGGGGAAGGAGAATTAATATCGCCAGGGTGGGGGTGTCCCCCCATCACTGATCCATATGTTCTTATATTGGGGTCCTTCAGCTCTGTGCTGCAGTCAAAGGTCACTCTGGTGTCCATCTTGGTCTCTGTGTCTTCCAGGGACTTTAGAATCTAGATGGCCTGAGGGATTGTGATAACAGAAAGCAGATGTCAGATTCATCTGGAGCCTGCCCAGTCTTGTCCTCCCTCTGAGATGCCCTCCTGCACTTCATGGATGGTTGGAGTTTGGGCTGTCAACTCAAGGCCCTGTAGAAGGGCCTGTGGGGAGCTCTAGCCTGGATGGTAACGGCGTGGAGGGGGCAGCCCCATGGGCAGAGGAGACTCCCAGACTCTCCTCTTCTTCAACATCCTTTTAAAATCTTATCTTGGGCTGAAGACAGAAAGGGACAAGTTCAGACAGAAGGGTCTGGATGCTAAGAGGAAAGACCAGGAGGAGGAGAGTGGCTCCCCTTCTGACACCAGCAAGGAGTCGGTGGTATCACTTGGTGATTATCTGCAAGGCTCTTGCAGTTAGTTGTCATACTCATCAGAAGTCAGTGGCTCCAGCTGGCTCAGAGTGAGGCCATTAATGGGGAGGAATGGGAACCCCGGGAGACTGCGTTTTAGGATTTGAGGGGGAGCTGAGTGTTGAGTGTGTGTGGAGGATTGAGCAGCCTGATTTGGAGGCACCAGGTAGCAGTCAGTGTGTGTGTTTGGAACCTCATTCTGCGTCAGATTCTCTCCCCCTTGGCTGTGAACCCCTGAAAGACCCCCTTGCTGGGCTGAGTGCTGCTTCCTTTAGCAAATACTTATTCCTCTGTATCATATAGCCGGCCAAGCCCTGCGGACAGTGGTGAATAGGCTGGAGTGCCGCTTGGAGCAGGCACCTACAGCCCAGTGGGTCTCAGAGGTTGTTCCTGAGACTGGAAGGAGACCAGTAAGGGGTTTCTGGCCAGCCTGTGTGTGCTGTGTGGGGCTGACTCCAGTGAGGAGCAGGCACTAGCTTCCGACTGGAGGGGAGCGGAAGTTCTCTGCTTTTCACAAGCCTCACTCCCTCACTTTCTGGAACTGCTTCCACTCTCCCTAGTCCTGCTGCCTCCTTGTTCTGGTTTTGCCTTAGAGCTTGGCTTGTTCTTAATTTTGGTCCCCAGTTCTCTTTGGCAATGGCCCACCTCCTGGTGCGGTTTTTCTTACCCTGCCTCTCCTCTAGGGCTACGACAGCCTCTGTTCCATTGCTGCACTTGGGTTGCCCTTATGGCTCTCTGGTCTGCGAGAGAACCATGACCCACCCCTGGGTCCCAGCCTCTGGCCTCATCAGTAACTGGACCCTGGACTTGGCCCTTGAGCCTTCAGCACATGCTCCTTGTTCATGTCGCCGTGGAACTCCTTGATGGGAGTGCTGCTCTCCCTCTTCCTGGAGATGTTTGGTTTGAGCTTTCCCTACACGGCACCCAGGCTCCAAACTCGAAATTTGCCTTTTCCCCTGCAGTGGGCACAGACACATTTTCACCTGTTAGCCTGCAAGCTGGACCTTTTCCTGTTCCCAGGATCCCGCCTGGTCCTGGGCAGGGAAGGAGCCTTAGCTTGGCCCTGCCAATATTTGTCTAGTGAGGGACTTGGAGATGGTGGTGGCTTGGGAGTGGGAGATCAGGAAGTAAGGGGAGCATCCTTAGGAGACATGGTGAGTGACGGACCCTCTCCGCCATGAGGGGTGAGGATTCTCCAGGAACTCTGGGACACTCTCACACTCAGGGACGTCAGAACTCGGGTCACCAAGCTGAAGAACTCTGCAGTGCTAGAGGACTTTCTCGTTGCTACTTCCTCAGTGGCATCAAGTGAGAGGTCAAGTGGGCTCCAGGAAGAACTCAGCTTGGGATTGGAGGGGGCTGATCTTTGTCGCAGGGGTGAGTAAAAAGTTTTAGACCCGTGGGGAATTGGCTTGGGTCAGGAAAGGAGGATTTCAGCTCCATGGATTGTATAATAGTGTGGGAAATTTCAACTAATAAGGCACCAACGTATCTTCCACCACTCACTGGTCAATGACCTCTATTGGGTCCCCACCAAGTTGCAATACTTTTTTCTTTTTTTTATAGATGCCTTTAAAAAATTAATAGTTCATTTTTACATCATTTTGTGCCTTTTCCCATCTCATTTGCAATCCCCTTGGGCTTCCCATCACCAAATCACCAGTGTGCCATCACCATAGTCCAGTGCACTTCCTCCCCCTCCTCCACTTTTGATCCCATTCCCCACTCCATCCCCGTAAAATGTCTCTGGTATATAGTTGCTCATTATTATTATTTTCACCCCTGGTCCTTTATACTCCTGCTATGAATGAAACCATCTGGTATTTTTCCTTTTCTTTCTGGCTTATCTCACTAAGCATAATCCCTTCCAGCTCCATCCATGTTGCAAAAGGCATGAGTTTATCTTTTAGATTGCTGAGTAATATTCCATTGTGTATATGTACAACATCTTTTTAATCCAGTCAACAGATGCCTTAAAAAAAAATGTCCTGGTCTTGCCAGCAACAATGCCGTAAGTCTTGGTCCCCTAGGAGTGTTGGGGGGGCCCTGAGCGCCTCCTGCTTTGGAGGCCTAGGAGCCGAGTTGAGCTCTGCTCTGGGCCTTCTCCTTGTCCTTCTGGTGGGGTCAGCACTCATTGCCACTCCTGTGGTGCTTCTTGAGTGGGGCCGGCTGCAGCTACATCTCCTTACATGCTCTGGTAATACATTTTTTAATTCCCAAAACAAAAGTTTTTTTTCAATATAAACTACAGAAAACCTTACTGGTTGGTGAGCTAACAGTTAATAATTGCTCTGATTCATGCAGCACTTTGTCTTGTGTCAGGAATTGTGCTTAGGACATGTCAGAGATTATTGTACCACATCTTCACAACATCCCAGTGAAGCAATTGCTTTCTAATCCCCACCATTTGGAAGGACAGAGATGAGAAATATGTGCTAGGAAGTCCTGTCCTGGCTTTTCTTTTTTGTAAGAATTTATTTATTTATGCATACAAGAACTGGGGCACAGACCAGAGGTGTGGGGGGTGAGAGGATTCACCAAAGATGGGGGGGGGGAACAGAACGGGCAGACAGATGGAAATACACTGCTGAGGGGAGCAGTGTGGGACAGCTGAGGTCCCCCAGAGAGGTGCCCTTGCCATGAGGGTCAGCAACTTGGCTGGAGATTGAACTCATGCTGCAGTGGCTGCAGACAGCCTCACAGTGCTTTGCTTTAACCTATTGCTCCATCAGGGAGGGCCCTGTCCTGACTTTTCAATAGTGACTGGAGGGCCCAACTAACTCTGTGCTGACCTCACAGAATATAGATGTTTTATTGATTTCTACAATGTTTAAAAAAAGCAGTCCTATATCTGGCAGTTGAGTGTTCACATGAAAACTCAGATTTCTCCAAGGGGATTGCAACTGAGATGGAAAAATGCACAAAATGATATAAAAATAAATTATTACATATGTATATATGTATATACACATATGTATATACGTATACATACATATATATGTATATACATATACATATATATAAACTCAGATTTCTGTATCTCAACATTGCACTGGTAATACACAGCTGTCATATAACAGCTGTCAGTGGTGGCTGGGGCCACCCCTTTAGACAGAGCATGCCTCTCCAGTTCAGCTCACTCTTTTTCCTGTGTTTATGCTCCCTGTTGGCCAGTGGTTCTCAATGCTGGCTGCACATTAGAATCCCTGAAGAACATTCAAAACAACTACCCAACACCACCTGATTTACCAGTCTGGGGTGAGACTCAGGCATCACTGTTTTTCTTACTCCTTTCCTGTCCCTGCCCTTCCTCCCCTCCCATACACACTCAGAAGATTCCAATGTGTTGCAGGGCTGAAAATTACCACTATCATCACCTGAGGTTGCGACTTCTGGCTTTGAGCCCCAGGTGTTACACTTCCTCTTCCTCACTGTGCGGGAGCAGTTGGTACAGACTGTTTTTCTGACCTTGACCTCCGTACAGAGGGAGGCACAATGACAGGAGGACTGGTATTTAATATCCTGGGCCCTGGCCATCTTTTAATCACTGTCCCCTAGAGACATGACCAAAACAATCTGTTCTGCTCTGAGATCATTTCTCAGCTTTCCCTAGGATCTGTGCTCCCCGGCAGGTCTGCTCCCCAAGGACAGAGAACCCTGAAGCTCAGGTCACTTGTTTACATATTCATCTTCTCTCCCTCCACGGCAGGCAGCTCATGGTCTCCCATTTCTTAAACGGAGCACGGTCAGCATTACTCACATATTGAGAAGGAAGCTACCTCCCGAACTGGTGGGGGCCTGAATGGAGGAAGACTGTGCATTTGCCTGTGACTGATCTTAAGCAATGAAGAGTCCATCAGTCACTCACACAGGTCCATGTGATTGATTTTCCCTAAATAGTTTTCCTGGAGACCTGATCTGTGGGTGAGCATTGCAGGCTGAAGCTTTATCAAAGCACAGATTAGAGGCAGAGCTTAGGGGAGGGCTGATGAAGCGCTCAAGGGCCCAGTAGCAGCAAAGACTGAGGCCATGGGGGGGGGGGTAGAATGTGGAGGGAGAGAAGATGCCCCTTCCTCATAATCTCCCTCCCCACCCTTCCCACCCGTCCCTCCCCCATCCCAGCCCCTCCCCACCTCTTTCCTACTCTTCTTGCCTCACTCTCTAGTTGTCTCCGAGAAGGCCTGCATGTGAGTGGCAGAGCTGGAAAACTCCATGGACATGTGCTCCTGCAACATCTGCTTGTGGTGAATGGTTGTCACGGTGACAGCAGGTGTGGGCTCTCACCTGGGAGAATCTGGGAGAAGAAGGCCATGCAGGACAGGGAAGGGAGTGAGGCAGATTCAGTGTGTTTGTGTGTTCGTGTGTGTGTGTGTGTGGCGGGGGGGGGGGGGGGGGGGGGGAGGGGAAGGAGAAAAACAAGGAAGATGAATATGAATAAGGAAGGAAAGGGGTGAGGTAACTTACCTTTTCTCTCTGGCTTCCCTTTTCTTCCTTTCTGATCTCTCTTTCCCTGAATAGTTACCAGGACCAGCAAGCCTGTCCCTCATTAAGAAACCCCAAAATTCTGTTACTAGATTCTGGGTTCTTGGAGAAATAGAAATAATGGACATTTGAGTCCTGCAGGTACCAAGAAAGATTTTATTAAAGTGCCTGCTGTTCAGCAGTAGGAGGCCAAGGGCAGAGGGTCTGCAGCGGCCCCAACCAGGCAGCTTTGATCCCGAGTAATTAAAATACAGGGGCCATTTTCTGTTCTTCTTTCCATGAGGCTATTCCACTTTGTGATCTTCTTGTGACTGTGACCTCTTCGTGAGGGAATCCGTATCATTAGCATAGAGGGTTTATTAGTGGCAAAAGTTTCATTTCATTGAAAGTGTGTGTTGGAAAAAAAAAAAGAGTGTGTTGGGGAGGAGTTTTAATTTTCAGGAGTTTCCTGAGTCTCACAAGATCCAATTTACTGGCTAACCCAATTCCACATTCTTGAAGGGGGGTAGATGTAGAGCTTAGAGTTACCAAGTGAGCCAAGGAAGGCCCTGAGGGAGTTGCTGATCCCCACTGATGCCACTTGGGGTTAGGAAGGCCTTGCTGCCTGCTTCATCAGGAGGGGAAGGCATCAGGCCTGAGAAGGCACTTCCTGACTAGTGGCAGGCCTCAGAAGGAAGCCACGGGCCTTCTGCCAGGGCCCTGGGGACCCCTGGCATGGGTGGAACACTGAACAGCTGACAGCATGTGGCTGTAGCCCTGATTTTGTGACATGGTGAAGAGTTTTTATTTCTTACACTTTTTTTTTTTGAATCAGTAACTCAAGCACACTATTGAAAACAACATATAGGGCCCTTCCTGGTGGTGCAGTGGGTTAAATTGCAGCACTGTGGAGCTCTCTGCAGGGCAACTTCCATCCCGGCAGGGAGCTGACCCATATAGTACAGCAGACCTCTCCTTTCTTACCCACTGCTGCCCTCAGCAGTGGGCTTCACTGGATCTGCCTGTTCTGCTGCTCACTGTGCCTCAGGTGACTCTGTCTCAGGTGAATCCTCTCACCCCTGCAAGTCTGGCCTGTACCCCAGATCTCGTATGCATAATTAAGTAAATCTTTAAAAAAAAGTGACTTATAAAAATCTCTGAAGAGGGCCTTCTGTACCTGTGCACCTCCCTCGGTCTGCCAGCAGGAAACCACTTCTGTCTCTAGATGCTTTCTGGAACCCCTTCATGCAAATCAAAATCTGTTTTGTGCTTACCTCCTTTTCACATGTAAAGCAACCTAAGACAAGGTATTCACTCCTTTGTATTTCACTGAATACATGTTGGAGATCTTTCTTTCTTTTTTTTTTTTAAGATTTATTTATTTGTACATACAGAACTGGGGTACAGGCCAGAGGCTCAGGGGCGGTGAGAGGCTTCACCAGAGACAGAGCGGGGAGCAGAACAGGCAGAACAGGCAGATTGACGAAGTACACTGCTGAGGGGAGCAGCGGGGCGGGTCAGGAGAGGTCTGCCTCGCCATGTGGTCTCCTCTGGGGCAGGCGGGATTTGAACTCATGCGGAAGTGGCTTTAGCTTCTCAGTGCAGTGCTTTAACCCGCTGCGCCACCAGGGAGGGCCGGAGATCTTTCTTTACCAATTCATAGAGTTCCAACTTTTTGGCCGCCAGATACATAGTATTTCAGCAAATGGAAGTACCTGCCATCCTTTATCTAACTAGCATGGCAGTTTGTAAACACATTTGTATATGAGGAAACTAACGTCTGAGGGAAATAACCTGTCCAAGGTTACTCAGACTAGAATCCTGGGTTCATAAACCCCAGCCTGTACCCTTCAGGGGACTCAAAAACCTTGTTCCCACACAGGTAATTTGAAGCCAAATTATCTCCCCTCATATTTGCCTGGCCTGCTTTTACCCTTTGCTCTAGTTCCTGCTGTTCCCTTCTGGGTTCAGAAGGCAGTCGACCCTGCACCCTGAGGGGAGAGGGGAGCCTTGTGGTCAGTTCCTGGTAACCCTTGAATGTTGTGTCTAGAGTTTTGGAGGTGCAGCTAGTGCCTGGACTGCAGACCGTCCAGTCTCCTTCCTTTGCTTCAGCAGCGGGGCTGTGAGGAGCCACGGGTTCCTTAAATGTCTGTTCCCTGGGGGCTATCCCTTACTCAGACTCACAACTGCCTAGCTAGATGGCACACTGCCTTGGGGGGAGGGGTACTGGGAAGGAGGAAGCAAGATTGGAGCAAGGGTGGGGGAAATGCAAGGGGTGTGGTGGGCAGGAGGCTGGCGGTGATGGTCCACAGGTATCTCCCCTGTTCCCTTGAGGCTGAGCTTTTAGTCTCACTGCTGGGTGGGAGCTCGCTGAGGTGAGGGGCTCATACCTATGCTGACACCATGCAACAAGGCTTAGGGAACAACAAGGCTTTGGTCTGTTTTCCAGGGACTGAAGGGGTAAGCTGGGAAGGTCACTGCACACACTGGGGGCCCCAGTCATGTCTCAGGTGAGTTGCAGGTTCTAGTGGATGTGCCGTCTTAAGTAAACCTGGGGGTACATTCATGTCCCCTCTATGTGTGGTGACTGCACTGGCTGAATGGACTCTCAGGGTCACATGGGGGAGCACAGTCCAACCCCCTTAATCTGGAAGAACAGTAGAAGGGACATTCTCCTGGGGACACCGAGAGTGTGTCCCCTCTTTCTGAGACCTTCATCCTGTTGCTTTCTTCTTGGTGTCCTGCGCATCTGTAGGCCTGGGCCCTGCACAGCTCACCCAAAGTTCTGGTCCCAACCTACTGCTCAGCCAGCAGCTCTGCCCTGGGCCTCCTCCCTCCCTGGGGTGACCTCACCTCGGAGCAGTGGCATCAGAGCTACTTTTGCCACATCCCTGGGGGCAGGGGGTAAGAATAGAGCTGGAGCGTTGTGTAGGGGGATGGCTCAGAATCTGAGGCCATGGGCAGAGTCCCCAGTCCCCTTGGGAGGGACTACTCTCAGCCCAGGCCTTACAAGGGAAATTGCTGGGTTCCTACTGCAGTTGGGATAAGTGGGCTGGCCAACAGGGTGGGGCCTGAGCGGGGCCTGAATGTCCCCCTGCCCCAGCCTTGGTCTCTCTGACCAAGGAATGGTGGGAATGGTGACCTGCCAGCACTTTGCCTTCCCTGGAAGCCTCACATACCTGTCCTTGGGGCTCCTGACTGGACGGGGGTGAGGGTGCTTGAGAATCCTGCCAAATAGGCTGAATTTTGATTTTTCAAATCTGGATTCGTGCCATACTGACAACTGCCGATAGGGGGCGTTAGGGACCTTGAAGTGTGTGCGTGCGGGAAGGAGGGAGTGGAGGGCAGTGGCAGACCGCACAGACGCAGGAGGCTAGTTTTGCTCAAAATGCTGTTTATTGCTCTATTCAATGACCACGAGCAAATTATAAAAAGACACCCAATGTCTGTCTGCCGTGGAGTAAATATTTAAAGTCAGCAATAAAAACACGTGGCTCCAAGATTACACATGTTGCCAGAGTCATGCACGCCCTGCTCGTGGGCTCTCAACACACACATGGACACAGGAACAGCGAGCTACACGCAGCAGGACTTCGGGACGCTTTTTCCCACGGTGACGGAAAAATGTTTCACACAGATCTGGGCCGAGTCCCTACCTCCCTCGGAGCCCCCTTCTCCCGCTCCCACCAGGGCCCAGGTCCTCTGGCTTCATCGCTCCATCTGCCCCCTTCCTCCCCAGTGCCTCCCAGGCTGGCCCCTCCCTCCGGAGGAGCTCTGCACCCCCAGGTCACCCTGGCTACCATACTCCAGTCATGCTGTCTCGCGCCCCCAGAAATGCTCCCCAGGTTGAGTTCTCTCTGCCAACACTCAGGAGCTCCCCCATCTTGACCCTGGGTTTTCAGACCCACCTGCCACCCTGGCTTGGATGACTGGGGGGAAATGCAATCTGCCTGCTGGGAGAAGTGGGGTGGGGGCTGAGACCAGCACCTCCGCCTGGGGGACTTAGGGGCTGGAGCGCATTATCCCTTTCCTGGGCTGAGGAGACACAGTGTCCGGTACAGACAGCAGAGATGGGTGGACAGACAGACAGAACACGCTGCGGCAGGACACTTGGGGTGCGGCACAGAAATGTTTGGATCAAGTAGCAACAGAACCATCATTAAAAACTGAGGCCCCAGGACTGCGTGACGCGGGTCAGGCCCCGGGGCCCCAGGCCAGGCCTGGCCCATCCTCCCCCCACCCTGTCCCACTCCCCAGTATATACAGTAGGAAGAGCTATGTTGGGGTGGGGGAGGAGGCCAGGCCAAGGCTGACAGAGGAGGGAGGGAGCTGGCTGGAGAGAAGGAAGCAGATGGGGTGGGGATAGGGTGCAGGCTGGGATGGAGCCAGGGTCAGGAATGGTGGCCCCCGGCTCCTGCTGTGGTGGCCCAGCTGGGGGCTGCCCAGTGGACCTGGGGGCAGGACCATGGTCACTCCGGGGACCGGCGGGACAGCTGCTTCTCGTAGAGGCTCATGACATGGTGTACAAACTGATACTGCTCGCAGGTCTGGATCATGCCACCCCTGCTGGCAGAGGTGCATAGTGGGAGGGGGCCCTCCAGGGTGGGCCCGGAGGGGTCCCAGTCCTCCGAGCTCGCCCCGGTTAGCAGTCATTTGTGAGGCCTGCCTTTGAGCAGCTTGGGAAAGGCAGTCTGGCCTGCCACCCCTCCTGCCTCTTCTTGCCCCTCCCAGCTCCGGCACACAGCAGGGACACAGGCGACATGTCCAGTTACTCTCAGTCCTGTCCTTTGCCTCCAGCTCTGCTTTTTCCCACTCCATCAGTCACCATGTGGATCAGGACCCTCCCCCCTGCCTGCCCCCCCATCTGACTCCCTATCCAACAGGCTCGAGCTCCCCATGTCCCGCCCCCACCTGCAGGCTGACCTGTCCTGGCGGAGCTGGCACGTGGTCTTCAGGATGTCCACGATGCCCTCGTGCTGCAGCTGCTGGCAGCAGATGCTGGTGGCAATGAAGCAGCCTGTCCTCCCAATCCCTGCACTGAGGGCCCAGAGGATGGGTGGGGTGAGGGTCTGGGAGTGGGGCCTGGAGAGGCTGCCCATCCCCCACTGGGAGCTGGAGGACCCACCTGCAGTGGACAACGATGGGGGCACAGCGGGGTCCCTCCTGCTGCGCTGCCTCCTCCACCTCCCGCACCAGATGCAGGAGTGGGGGGGCCCGGTCTGGGGTCTTCTGGTCCGGCCAGGATGTGAACCAGTAATGCTTCAGGCCTCGCTCTTCGGTCCCGCTCTGTCCAGGAGACAGAGCCCCACCCCAGATACATGTGAACGCTGAGCCCACAGACCAACCAGAGACAGATGGGATGGGACGAGGAAGGCACCGAATGGCACATCTAGCCTCTGCCCTCCACACCATATTGCCCAGAGGGGCCAGAGAGACACCCATGGGCACTGGTCTTCATGAGGTCTGTACCAGTGACTCCAGGATCCATCCATGATTGACCAAGAGTCCTTTCTGCAACTCATTTCTGTCTCCCGGGTACTCATCTTAGCAAACTGTCCACTCTCTCCTTAGTCACAGAACCAGAGCCCCCTGGGGCCTCCTGCCTCACTCTGCTTGAGTGAGGGAACTCCACTTTGGCCTTCAGCATGTGTGGATGGTGTGAGACCTGCCCCTTCTGCCTGTGCTCCGCGCTCCACTGCAGTACTGGCCACAACACAAATCTGAACATGCTGCTCTCTTGCTCAGACTCCTCCCATGGCTTTTGTCGCTTTCCAGATGAAAGCACTCTCCTTCAGCCAGGCAAGTCATGGTTTAGGTTTACAGACGACATCTCTCTCCCTCTCTCACACACACACACCCTCCACCGTACTCTTTTTTTCTCTAGCTGGAAAGTCCAACTCTTATTCACCCTTCAAAACCCCAAACAGCACCACCACTCCACTCCAAGGAGACCTCCATGAGCAGCCTGTCAGTCCTTCTGTGTTTTAAACTAATTCGGCACTTACTCTGTCATGGGTGCTGCTTGAGGAGAGAGTCCAGGCTTTGGACAGCTCTGTGTTTCTAGTATCTACCCCTGAACCAGGCCCAGGGCAGGTGCTTTAAAGGTTTACAGCTAGAGATACCCAAGCTGAACCCCAAGCTGCTTTGATTCTTCTTTAGCCACTCCTGTGGTACAGAGATGACGAGGCAGCCCTATGTCACCCCAGCCTCTCTTTCTGGGGAAGCTGGAGGATGGTTCCTTGGGTCCCAGGCTTATCAGACTGTAAGAGCTACTGCTGCCTCTGGCTCCGCTCCCGCCCCCACACTTGCTGAGCCTTTCTGCCTTCTAGCAAGGCCTGTATCTTGGAGCTGCTCAGGGGGGTGCTTCTCTGTGGGGGCTGCCTGCTTCCTGACACCCCAGTTTGCACCCTCTTCCACGGTGGGTGGGGCAACTCAGAAGGACACTTCCCAGCTTTGAGCTGGTTACTGTTACAGCTTTAGTGAATTTCTGGATAAGGGGTCAGCTTCCTGGTGCCTGGCTCAGGGATTCCAGCTTTTGCAGTTATTACATGAGCTCCATCGTTCCCAAACATGGGTTTATTCTCCAAAACACAACCCACAAAGCCTTCTGATTCCAAAGGAACAGTCTCCTCTATTATGCATATCCTGGAAGAA